CCAAAGAACGAGTCGCCATAACATGAGACCGAGGTGGAACCGGTTTTACCGTGCGCCGACCTCGCTTGGGCGCCTTAGGAGCACCCGAGACTGCCACATCTGGAGCCACAGCAGTCTCGGTGCGGGAATCAGAAGCAGCACCAGCAGCCCCGGAATCCGTGTCCATCTCCGGACGAGGATCCGGCCCAGCAGAACAAACACCGGAGCTCGCGCCAACCTGAACGGCGTCAACACCCCACGGCTCAATCAGGCGAGAGCTAGAGACCTGAGAGGGGACAGAAGAAGCAAATGGAAATATGGTTTCATCAAACCGCACATGACGGCAAATGAATACCTTGTTAGTAGCAGGATCAAAACAACGATAGCCACGAAACGAAGACGGATAACCAAGAAACACACACGGAGAAGACCGATACTGCAACTTGTTACGATTATACGGGCGTAACAGAGGATAACAGAGACAGCCAAACACACGCAAGAAAGAGTAAGAAGGACTAGAACGATGCAACCGAGAATGAGGACTATCATTATCCAAAACCCGAGTCGGCATCTTATTGATGAGATAGACCGCAGTCTCAAAGGCATAATCCCAATATCGTTGTGGAACTGAAGCCTGGGCCAAGAGAGCCAAACCCGTTTCCACAACGTGACGATGCTGACGCTCAACTCTACCATTCTGCTCATGGGTATAGGCACAAGACTGCCTATGATTAATACCCAAAGAGACAAAAGTACGGTGCAACCGTTTATACTCTCCCCCTAAATCAGATTGAATAGAGACAATCTTACGACCATATGAACGCTCAACTAGTGACCGAAACTGCTCGAAGATAGCATACACATCAGTTTTCAAACGCATAGGATAAAACCATACATAGCGCGTATAGTCATCAACAAACAAAACAAAATAACGAAAGCCATTGACGGAAAGAAAAGGCGATGGGCCCCAAATATCAGTATATATAAGTTCTAAAACATGAGACGTAGTAGTATTGACACGAGGCAAGGGAAACCGTGAGGATTTCCCAAGCATACAAGCACGACACAATTCCGAAGTATCACTAAAACTAGACTGAATAGAACATGAATTTAAAATCTGCCGCAAGACACGCGGGTGAGGATGACCCAACCGGCTATGCCACACGTCAGAGGAGACTCGAGAGGCCACAAACGCAACGGGACTTGAACGAGAGACAGGCCAAGAATAGAGACCCCCCGAAGCCGGCCCTTTATATAGAACTTCCCTGGTTGAACGATCCTTCACAAAGAAACAATCAGGGTGAAACTCAAAAAAGACATTATTATCACGAGCAAACCGTTGCACAGACAATAAAAACGCAGAAAGCCCAGGAACATGAAGAACATCAGACAATCGAAATAGTGTTTCAGATGCGGCTAACGAAGATGAACCAGTACTCACAATAGGTAAACACTTACCGTCACCAACACGAAGATGATCCGGACCATTATAAGGAACCGCCGAGGACATTAAAGACGGATCCGGAGTGGCATGATTCGACGCACCAGTGTTAGGAAACCACTGCTGAGGATTAACCGAAGCCGAATCATCAACAGAATATGCAACATGTGCCCGCGGCCCTGGAGCGCCATCCTAACGACGATAGCACAAAGCGGCCGAGTGGCCTTCGCCGGAGCAGATCTGGCACTGGACAGCCCCGGCGCCACCTCGACCGCGGCCTCGGCCCTTGCCACGACCTCGGCCTCGATTGCCGCCGCCACGCTGCTGCCCGCCCGAGCGACCTCCACCTCGCTGAGCCGCCATGGCGACCGGAGCAGCAGCAACGTCACCACCATCATCAGCACATATAAAGGCCTGCGAAACAAGAAAATCGGATAACTCGAGTAAAGACACCGGAGCACCCCTCGTCAGCGACGCCACCAAAGCGCGATATTCGGACCGCAAGCCCCGGAATATATACATATTCTGATCTTCTAGTGTCACCGGACGGCCGGCAAGTGCCAAATCCTCAATAAGCACCTGAGCACGCCCAAGATAATCCGGGATCGAAGCATCCCCCTGCCGCAATCCTTGCAGTTCGCCCACCAACCGAAGAGCACGGGCCCGAGTCTTCGAACCAAGAACCTGTTCGATCGCCACCCACAAATGCCGAGAGGAGGTTTTACCGATGGCAAGATGCATCATCTCGTCGGACAAGGACGAGATCAACAAGGAGAGCACGGCCTTATCTTGACGAAGCCATGCACTCCGAGCGGCGGACGATACGGCCGACGAAGACACGGCAGCAGCAGCCTCCTCGGCAGAAGGTACCGTAATCGCAGTAAACGGGGGACACACAGACGTTCCATCGACAAAACCCAATAATCCTTGGCCATCCAGGAACGGAAGAAGCTGAGTGCGCCAAAACAAAAAATTACGGGATGTCAATTTGATGGAAACGAAGTGATGAGCCGAAGAAAACGACACCCCGGACTGCAGGGGTGCCACAAGCGCAGCCTCAGAAACAGTCCGTTCAGAACTTCCAACAGAACCGCCATCAGAACCGAGGTGCGCCATAGAGAGAGAGAGAAAAAGAACCTGTTGATACCAGATGAGGATATAATATTTCTGAATGAATCAAATAATAAGTCTGTACAGGAATATATAGTAGTGAATAGCAAACCTAATACAAGACTAATACTAGTAACAATAGGTAACGAATACTAATAATAATAGAGTCCTAATACTTATAACTAATAAATTCAAACCAAAAAGTTAATAGATAGTTATAAAGACAGCAAGTTATGCTGTGTATCCGTATGCACCATGCATGGTGCATACGGATGCAAAAACGACGTTGTTTTATTAAAAACGCGTGTCTCACTTAAAAAAAAATCAGTTTCGATTCCCAACAACAATATTATATTGTGCATAATTTGAACTATATATATCCAGAATCAATGAACTAAAATTCTAGAATCGATGAACTAAAATTCCAGAATCTATGAACTAAAATTCCAAAATCTATGAACTAAAATTCCAGAATGAATGAACTAAAAATCCATAATGAATGAACTAAATATCTAGCATGAATGAAAAAAAAATCAGTTTCGATTCACGTCTAAATATCCATAATCAATGAACTAAAATTCCAGAATCTATGAACTAAAATTCCAGAATGAATGAACAACATAATGCTGTTGAGGGGAATCGAAAACGATTTTTTTTTTAAATGGGATGCGCGTTTTTAATAAAACGACGTCATTTTTGCATCCGTATGCACTATGCATGGTGCATACGGATGCACAGCATAACGATCCTATAAAGACAATTCAACTTGAACCTTCTCTCGATAACAAAATGTATTCTAACCATATTAAAGATCTAAAGATGCTCGTATAAGCAGCTCAGTTGGTCATAGGGGTGAAGTTTGAGAAGAATGACCAAGGATTGAATCTCACTAGCGGCAGTGTCTCAAAGTGAGGGACTCCTTGTATGTCGTAATTAAATGTCTAACTTCTGGGGGACTCCTGCTGCACAATAAGTAGCTGAGTTTTGTGCACAATAAGCAAGTCTTTAAGGGACTCCCGCTGTATAGTAAGCAATTGAGTTATCATAATTTACATTCTTCTAGATGCTTTGTTGGAGAATCAAACTTTTGGAAGAAGGATTTAAAGATGGCATCGATTGCTGAATTTTAAGTAAAAAGTTAAAATTCTGTGAGTGTATAGAAAATGCTTTTACCATTTTCTTAAAAAAATATTTTAACATTCAAATTTATTTTTTTAAAACCAAATTAATTATAGTTTCTAGAAAACAGGGAAGCAAAGAATAATTAAAGATGTTCTCAAAAAAAAAAAAAAAAAAAAAAAAAAGGAATAATTAAAGATAGATAGCTTATCAGAAGTTAGACACGGCACGTGATTTACTCTTACTGGGAGTCTGGGACAGTGGGACTACTATGAAATTGGACCAAGTTTCAACCGTCCACGTGGTTCATTCACTCTATTGGCTCACCTGATATGTTACTCCACTGATAACATTTTTATACAGCATTTGATATCTATTGGATTCAAGTTGTATTATACCAGTAAAATTTGATTCTTATTTGAAACTAAAATTTTATAATATGGCATTCAAAAATAAAAATAAAAAATTATAATATGACACAAAAAAACAATACTCTAATTTCGATCTAAGGTCTTCTTAAATTTATAAAGTCCAACTAATTTTACTTCAAACAAGAGCCCTTTAATATATATATATATAAAATGCATTATCAAGATGTATAGTTTTATTGGTCAATCTAATCAAGTTGATCAGATAATGAGAATTCTTGTGTAGAAGATGTTTATATAATCACGTTCACATAAGATACAGGAAGATTAAAAATATACACAAGTAGAGTTCTATTGTAACATAATAAACTCAAGAGAGTCATGAACTAAATACATATATTAATATAGACTGTTCATTAAATAATTTACAAGTTCAATTCAATCCAACTCTTAGCGAGGATGGTTTATTGGTCTTCTAGATTTGATTCGGTCTTTGGACAACTTAGGCTGCCGGTATAAGTATAATCCAGAAGCATATGCTACCACTGTCCTTATAGCTGGGGATTCTTATACCAACTCAACTCAAAATAGCCAGAATTTAGGCATCCGGACACTTCAATATACAAATGATATGTTAGTTGAACGTCACAACTTAAATGTGAAAGAACTTATCAACAAGTACTACTACTCACCTTTTTTTCACTTTCCGACTTCTATTCAATTTGTAGGAGAAGCTAAGATTGCATTATTCTCAGTTTTTATATATTCCATACATGCACTACACTAAAGTATCTTCTTTAAACTTTAATTATTCCGCGCAAACACAATATATCATATATAATTTACATCATTCCAAATGTTCGGTCGGGCTGGAGTGTCGAGGCCCTTGAAGTTGGGGATTCAACATTTGTTGGGGATTCAACATTTTGTGAGAAGAAGACTATAAGACATTATGTTGGAAAATTTATAAACGAAAATATTCATTAAACATTTCCACACAGATTTGCAAAACCAGGATAATATATACATGGCAGCCACTGCAGAAAGTGATCCTTAATCTGTGGGCACTTCCCTCAACCTAGGATTCTTAATCAAACCAAAAACATAGGAGAAAACCCATGGCTTGATTGATGTATACAGTCCCAAACTCTTATTGCTCAAATTACTATAGGGCCAAGAAAGAGCCTAGCCTTTTTAAGTCTACAAAATAGGCCATACTTGCATCTTTACATCACACATTCTTACAACCATCTTTAAAAAGTCTATATATAGTTGTAATATTGCATGTAGTCCTCCTATGAAGTGAGCTAGATCAATCAAGGGAGTTGGTTTCTCCTCCACTAAGAACCCATGGATGCCCTGCATATACCAAATGAAGTTTAGAATCCAAAAACAGATAAAATTGAAAAATACAAGAGAATCTAGCAGTTAGTTATTACTTGAAGGTATGCATTGATAACACCAGCCTTGTGACCTAAATTGACAAAAGATCAAAAGAAAATATGCCAGTATACATTATTCATAGTTAACTCTCTTAAATCAAGAAGACTAATATGCAGATCCCATCCCGAGCAAATTAAAAGAGAAATAAAGAATAACTTACTTAGTACTTGTTCTGCTGAGAAGCGTCGAGAAGGGTCCTTGCATATCATCTTCCTGAGCAGATCTTTAGCTTCCGGCGAAACAGACCGGAAAATCCTGGTGGGAAACCTCAAATTCGCTCTGAGAACAGCTTCGAAAGTTTCCGCCGGAGATTCGCCGTAGAAAGGCGGAACACCGGCGAGCATTATGTACAGAATCACGCCGGCGCTCCACACGTCCACCTTCTCGCTATAGTCTCTCCCCATCAACACCTCCGGCGCCACATAGTAGGGCGTCCCCACCACCCCACTCATCGCCGCCACATTCTCCTCATCATCGTACCCTCCGAACCACTCCGCCGACCCGAAATCGGCGAGCTTCAGGCCGCCGTGAGAGTCGAACAAGACGTTGTCGGGTTTTATGTCCCGGTGGGCGATCCCGGCGAGGTGGCAACTCCTGATGGCCGACACGAGCTGCCGGAAAATGACGGCGGCGGACGGCTCCGACAGCGGGCCGCGCGACGACACCCGCTCGTAGAGGTCGCCGCCGCCGCAGAGGTCGGTGATGATGTGGAGGTAGCCGTCGCCCTCGTACACTCCGAAGAGGTTAAGGATGTTTGGGTTCCCGGCGAGGAGTTGGAGGATCTTGGGCTCTTTCTCTAAGCACTCGCGGTCGGTGGGGTCCAGGAGGAGATTCTTGTCGATGGTTTTGCAGGCGAAAGATTCTCCGGTGGACGGCGAGAAGCAGCGGTAGACGGTGCCGAATCTACCACGCCCGAGTTCTTCGCACAACTGGTACTCCTTTTTCAAGCACTCGAACATGTTTTGTTGAGAAGTATGGTTTGTGTGGGTAAATCTCGTACATAAGGGTTGTTATTTATAGTCCAAAGAGTATATTAGAAGAAACGTATAATACCCAAAATATTCTATGATTCAATGACTGATGAAAAAAATATACTTTAATTTACCGAGAGAACTCCACAACCACTATCTTACGTTTCTAATATATCACAAAAGAATAATTTAGAATTTGACTCTTACTCCTGAAAAACCTTAAATAACTTTTGACATGACACACTATTGTAATAATCGAACTTTAGCACCCTTCAAAAAATAAAGAAAAAAAAATTGAACATTATTAATAGTTGGCTTACCAACTATCTCAATTGTTGTGTTAGGTGTAATTTAACTTAGCACATTTAAAAAAACTTCTAAATTTTAATACTCCGTAATTGATTGGTTTGTAATTTTTTTTTTCATTAAAACTATGTATTGGAATTTTAATTAATAATAGATATTTTTAATACAATAAATCAATATCAATTACAACAATTAAGCAAAGAATCTGCAGATATCAAAAGTGATATATATTTTATATTCATAAAAATAATGCATTAGCATAATATATAAATGTAGTACGTGTACGAACTTAATTAGTTTACATAACATAATTTCTATTTTTTTTTGTTATATAGATATCTAATAATGTATATATGAACATATATGCATGATTGACATTAATTAGTAACGTTAGAAAGTGATGTATGTTAGTTTATTGTAAGTATAAATTCATCATACGCATTATTAATTCTTTCAATTTGAGGTATATATATATATATATATATATATATATATATATATGAATATATATATGAATTTATTTGTTAAGTGTGGATTGCTATCCACGTCTCTTCTCTGTGTAATAAAAATATAAATGAGAAAGGTTTCGAGTTTGTTAGCTGTTAGCTGATTATATATAAAATTATTTTTTCAAAAAGTTGATTGAAAAAGTTATTTTGAGTAACTTTTTAAATTTTAACATTTTAGAGCAATATCAGGACTATGTGGTCTAATGGTACCTGGATTAGACTTCCATTTGAAAGATTATGAGTTTGAGCCTCAGTGGAGGCGTTATTGGTTCTTTGTGTTTCAGTAGGTTGTGAAAGTATATGAACAGATAGTATAATGTAATAGAGCCAATAACTTTTTTAAAAAAAAATATTTTAGAGCAATAAGTTGTTACAAAAAATTAATTAATCGAACACTCATATTGATTGTTTAACAAAGTCAAATAGTTAATAACAATTAAATAAGTCGAAATTAACTGATAAGTTAATTGTGTTATCAAACAGCTCATTGTATTTGTGCCGATTAACACTATACATTTTTCCATAATATGTTATAGAACTGTATTGTTTGTTTAGGTTTAGTCTATATGTCAAAGTGTAATTAAAAATGATTATAATCTGTAAATTATGCGGAATGATGATTTCCAAGGCGGTGGGTTTTCGTTTCTTTTAAGGTAGAAAAAGTCAAATTGTTTTTACTAATTTCTTGGTCATGAGAGCAGTTTGGGTCACTCTCCAATGTTTATGGCATTTGTTTTTGACAACGACGAGGATTATAAATTAATGATGCTGTATTTGGATTGTTGTATGACTAGCAGGTTAAAACTTTCCTTTAAAAAAAAAAGGTTAAAACTTGGATGGTCGGCAACCGATATATGTATAAAAGAATTAATCCGAGTGTGTGTTTGGTTTACACATTAAGAATGTAAATCAAAGTCATGATTATTGTTTGATTTGATTGATAACTTTTAAAATATAACTATCTATTTTGATTATTTTTTTAATGAAAAATTTTATTCTCTAATTAAAAAGAGTATCATTCCATCTTATGGAGTTATGGTAATTTAATTTTTATGTTTGGATTTTTGTTTTGATTTTTTAATTCATATTGATGCTTTGGATGTCATTATATTAGTGATCAATTGTATTTTTTGTTTTTGTATGTTTAGAACATTTATTCACATTATATGGTCATACACAACCAAACATCAATATTAGTAATCATTCTAATTCCATCATACTACCAAACATGTAAAATATTTTTACCAAAATTCATTACCATTATCAAGTACCAAGTATTTGATTACCATTCTTATTCTAATTTCCATGCCAACCAAACACACTCCGAGTATTTATAGTTTTAAAATTATATTCTTTATTTTTTAATATAGTGGCCCATGGTTGATTGTTAGGAATCTTTATTCTTTTGTTTTTGTTTTTTTTTGGTTTTTTTTTTTTTTAATTATGTTTGATTAGTGAAGAGTTATATAATATTTTAGTGAGTTTTAGAGCATTACCATTGACATTGTTTCCTGGGTGTTTAAGTTTTTTTTTTTTTATTTTATTTATTTTAACAACTTTTGTATGGGGGGAGAAGAGATGAGAAGGATTTGTATGCTACTTAATGGTTTTTGTCAAGAGAAAAAAAAAATTAATAGAGCACGTCAAGCATAAATATGTCTTATATGCTTAACAAGCACATCACGATAATCACCAACTAGTAATCACTCATAAAATTAAATTTGTTTCCTCTCTCTTTGTCCGAGTTTAATTTTTTGCTATTAAAACTCAAAAGAAAAATAAAAAAACCATTGAATTTGCTTTTAGACATTTTCAACTTGCATATATACTTTATAGCTATGGAATCTTGCTCCTGATGTATGTGATCTGACTTTCGAAGAATCTTGAGGTGTACCATATTATCTATGTTCAAGTTAGTAATATTTATTAGTTACAATTGAAAGACTAAAAATGGTTTTGTTTTTGTTGTTGTTGTTGGTTTTTTTTTTTTTTTTTTTGATTAATTGGGCATTAGAGAGATGTTAAAATAAAAATAAAAATTGGGCATTAGAGAGCAAAGTATTGCTTACATATTTGCATGAGATATTAATTTCATTTTTAGTTTTCAAAATCTAATCTTATATTATTGTACTTTATGTATAGTAAACATAAATAATACAGTACTATTTTCCTTCCTCATTTTACCTTATAATATTCTCCTCCTAGCATGATAATCAAATTCCTTTTACTCATTAGCTACTATGAATTAGCCAAATCTACTCAATAGTAAAAAATTGAATCTATTTATTAAGCAAATATAAAGGAACAAATGAATATTGTCACATTAGGAGGTAAATTCAAGAAGATAATTTAACAATGCTCAGTAAATTATATCAAACAAATATATAGTTTCTTTTTGCCACAAAAGGGATGGCCGAGTAAGTAGTGTAGGACTCTTGTATCTAAAGATCACAAATCTCTAATGTACATCATATGTACTAATTGTACGTGGGTTTATCTCATCACCCAAAAATAACATATAATTTTCCTGTTTTGTGTGTGTGTGTGTGTGGGGGGGAGGGGGGGGGGGGGGGGGTGGAGGATTTAATGAAGAGTATTCTAAGTATTTTTATTTTGTATAAAATTTCCATTGCTTAATTGTTTGTACGAGGATTCACAGAGCTGAGCACAGAATCGTATCATATGCGTTGTCTGTTGACCCTTTGGTAGTTTGGTCATTGGAGACTGTCATACTATTTTTATTCTAAATATATAATAGCAAATGTTTTTTTGTTTGAAAATATTTATTGCACACAAACTGCATGAATGCTATCTGACTTTGCAATTTTTATTTTTATTTTAAAAAAATTGATTCGTAAAAATATTAATTGCAAATAAATAAATAAAGTAATGCCATATATCTGTAATTTTTTAATATATTATGTAACTAGATGAAAATATATGATCTATTTTTTTATTAACATATGAATTGACGGGTCACACTATGAATTATGGAGTAATTAAATTAAATTAAACGACCTCGACGCATCCAACATTTGTTACTAAGCATTTCCTTTTAATTTAAACTAAGAATACACTCATAAATTTTCATAACTAACTGGTTCAAACCGAAAAAGTCAATAAACAATTTCCTAAGAGTCAAATTTAGAACTATCAAGTATCAACGCAATCACCCAATCAATTCAGCTAAAATTGCCCACTAAGGATTTCGAGGTTTCCTTTTGTTAATGCTAACAACTGGGGTGATAGTACCGAACCAACGTGATCGATGTTGTTGGTCCAATTAATAATCATCACTTGATATGATTTAAATATAAGTTTGGCCTAACATGCATTATATAAAACACGTAAAACCAGATTCCACCTTCCAGTCTTCCACGCAGCTAGGCACTATCTATCCTGTTTAATTTGTGACCTTAATACAGTGGGTGGAGTGGAATTGCAGCCCACAGTATTTAAGGGCGCAAAAAATTGCGTGAACCATGATTCACACAGTGCTATGTAAATCATAACAAAAAATACATTTTTAATATACTAAAAATACATTATTCGTATATTTAATGTACATTATACAAAATAATGTACTTTTAGTACTGAAATAATGTACCTCCTTTGAATACAATCTACATTTTTAATATATGAAAAGTATATTATTATTTGTGTATTGAATATACATTATTTGAAAATGTGACCCACACAACTGTGTGAACCATGCTTCACACAATAATGATTGATTTCCGAGCAAAAAACACTTACATCCTAATCTCGAAAGTCCCTGTTTATCCATCTACCCTTAAGCTTATTTTGTAGTATTGATGAAGGAAGTGACTTAACGATTTACAAGTTTTTCAAAGTACTTTGTACACTGGTACTCACAACAAGACAATTCTATACTTGTCCTTAATAAGAATCGAACACTACACTCTATGATTGCCAGCAGAGCATACCACAAAAATTAAACCACTTGTTATTATAAAGGATGCATGTCTTGAGTGTATATCCAACAATTATATTGAGATTCATGGAACATGAAGTTTGTGTACCTATAATCATGAATATTCCGTCCAAAAAAGTAGTGACTGGTGACACATGATCATGCCACATGGGATTTCGGTATAGGAAGAGGAATGTTTGTTTTGAAAGAGATGTTCCAACTAGAAACCTGAATGGCAGTTTGTGCTTTTCATCAATGTTATCTACTTAAGCCATTTAG